GACAAGCGCCGTTGATGGAAAATATCTACGGCGGTGTGGCGGCTATTTTTCAGGAGTAGGCTACTAGATGCCCGCGGCCTACATATGGGAAAGGTAGCGGCGGTTTAAGAAAGGCCCTTGCGATATCCCTCTATCCTGGCGGTGGTGTGAGAACCATCAGAATTGAGGGCCTACCTGTCGGGCTGCTCCATCTATTGGTGGGGAGCGGCACCTGCTGGAAACCAGGTCCAGCGTCCCATTGATACATCGTTTCGTACAGATATTTGGTTTTTATTTTTTCTCGGGGCTGTGATTATTGTTGACTTATCCTGGGGCTCCGTCGTCCCATGGAGCTGCAAGACTTACCCTTCCCTTTTTTGGGAGCACCCCTTATCTATTGACCCAGCCCTTATTTGTGCAGCCCCCCTAATTGACTGATTCTGTCTCTGTGTCTGTCGACCCTTTATGTTCTGTTCCCCCAGACTGTTTGTCTGAGCATTGCTTTTCCCAATGTATTTGTAGTGGTGGCAGAAGGAGGTGTCGTTAACAAGCCTTGACAGGTGGCACTACCCAGCCATATGAGCTGCCTGCCTATCTGGCAGCCTACATCTATCCTAATCTTTAGCATCCCATACATTGCCTTTTGACTTCATGACTCTGATGTTGTTGGCTGCGTCTATGTTTGCTCTCTGTATCTGCTTGTCTATCTGCCCGCCTACATCTATCTTGACATTCAATCATAGTGTACCATTGGCTTTTGTCTTCATATCTCTGCTATGTCTATCTCATCATTCAACATAGTGTACATTTGTTTTTTATCTTCATACCTCTGCTGATTGTTGGCAGTCTACCTGATGGTTCACTGTCGGTGATAGTATGCTCTGGTCCCATATATGCTGTCAAGATTGGTTGGACCGGATCATGATTGTCACATAGTGTTCTGTTTTTCTTACAATCGCCCCGCATGTCTCCTTTGTCTCATTCTTTGCTATCAATTCTATCACCATGTTCCCGCTCCCTGTATGTAGGCCAGCTCACTCTGCCCGTTGGCCAATCCTCACCCTTGGACTTCAATGCCTTAGGGTATTGTTTCTATCGTTCCTGTGGTTTGCCTTGTGTCTTGTGTCAAGGCAACATTTCAGCGTGTCTGTGCATTGCAGTGCTTGAGGTCATGTAACTTCTCGAAGGTCTTGTTCTCTCTCCCATCGTCTTCCAGCCATTTCCTTTCTTTTATCAGATCTGTCTGGTCCTTGTCCCTGAGTTCCGTTGTTCGATGGGTGTCCTGGAGCGGTCTGTTCCTCCTTCCTTCCCTCCAGCTTTGTCCTTTTGCCCTCTGTCTTGTTCCTTGGTCTTGGAGATACTGCCACAGATGTCGCCTGGCCAGGTCTTGTGAGTGTCTGTTATCTGGACTTGAGCAGTGTGACCTTCAGTTATCCGGAGTCAAAATTCGGAGAACGGGGTGAGGGGGGGGGTAGTGGGGGGGGGTTTTGAGGTAGGGGGGGGGGGGGGGGGGGGGGGGGGGGGGGGGGGGGGGGGGGGGGGGGGGGGGGGGGGGGGGGGGGGGGGGAGGGGCGGGGGGGGGGGGGTGGGGGGGGGGGGGGGGGGGGGGGGTGCAGGGAGCTGAGAGAGGGGTCTTCAGTGATTGGTGGGGGAGATGGGGGTAGTGGAGGCTGTCTCTTATACACATCTAGATGTGTATAAGAGACAGCTCCGGGGGAGTCTCTGGGGGATGGTATGTGACGAACTACTTCCCGACCCCGTGCTATCTTTCATACCCCCTTGGCCCAATACCCCGTTGTGTACCATACCGACCCCACAGAACCCTCGTCGCTTTTCTTGATTTCAGGCATCTTGTTTGAGCCCCCATTTTTCGGAAGAATCTATTGATTTTTTTGGAATTCTGTCATTTTGCAATTCAGGAAATGCACGGGAAATTTCGCGCGTCTTAGCGAGCGCACTGGGAATCAGGCTCGACAGTGAGGAATTACGGAATAAGCGGAGCCCGACGTATCATTTTCCTTGCATGAATGTTCTCGGTCACGTTGGAGAAAACTCTAGGAATTTTGTGAGAATACGGATAGGCATAGGACTTTCTTTTCCCGCGTCGACTTTCGCGCGCGGATATGGTGATTTCAATTTTTGAATTAGTATAGGATATAGGCAAGCTGTAACTGTTTCGGTGCCTTTTTTCTCTTGCTGTCGGCACCACGCATGCGAGCATCCTCCTCCTTATTTCTCGCGCCATCCCTCCCCCGCACTCTCCCCTCTCCATCCCCCCTCTTCTCCTTCTCCTATCGCAACTGTTTTTCCCTCTCTGCTTTTTGCGCGCCTGCTTCCCTTTCTTGATCATCTGAATCCTGGAACCGTCTCGCGCTGCTTTTCGCGCTTCGTCTCTTCCCGCTCATCGACCTTGGCTCACGAAGCCCGGTTGATCCTCCGATCACCCCGGCTCACCAATCAGACGCGTTGAGTAAGAGGATCTTCCTATTGCGCAACGAATCTGATTGGCCGACCATTCAGCTCTGAAGGATCAACATGGCTTCCACAGCGCGCTCCCCGTTAAGTCTCTTCCTCCTGCCTCTTCTTTTACACCTCGACTTTCCCCCTGCCTTCTCCCTCCCTTATCCTCCTTCTCGCAACTATAAGTTTCGCAAGCGCGTCCGCAAAAATCTCTTACGTTCTCGACTCCCAAGCCAGCTTCCAGGAAGCAGTGGCTAGAGGGATCTGGGCGAACCGCGTTGAGTTTGCGTCAGCGGGGTGACGATCGCAGCGGCGGAAGTTGGCACGTGACGGCCGGGATCGTCGGTGCGGGTATGAGGATCGGTGATTGGAGTTGAGTGAGTGATTGGCTCGGGGCCATACTGGAAATTCACGGCGAAAGCGCCTTTGTTGTTGCGGATTTTTATCCTTTGGTGTGGGTGCATGGCTGCAATGCCGAATGTCCTCTTTTGGATCTCCGTATCTCCTATCTTGACATTTCTCTCTCTCTCTCTCTGAGTTGAATGACGCTGTGTCATGAGTTTGTCCTCCCCGTGAATAAGAATGACTCTATGTGCTTTCCCGTGCGAATGAACTTCTTCCGGAAGCCTTCCATTAGTTTCCTGGGTAATCCCCAAATGTCGAGGAATTGATCCTTTTGTCTTGTGAATGGTGGATGTGTGTGTATAGTTTTCTCGGTTAATTTCTGACCTGTGCACCCCTGGTCATTTTCGCACCTTCCACGGTGGATGTATGTATTGTGGATGCTCGTCTTCTTGCATTGATTAGACTCGACGCTCGATAGGATTTTGTTCGAGAATGCAAGAATGTTTAGATCTGCGGTTTTGAATGTACTGCGCATGCCATCTGCCTTATGCTGCACGACATCTGCAACCCATCTACAGGGCAGCCTTGAAAAATAAGGCGCCTCGGATCAACGCGGCGTTGGCTTACTAAGCTTGAATTGCGGGTCGGTCCCTCGGTCAGGTGCATGATCAAATATGATAAGTGCTCTCTCTCTCTCTCTTTCTCTCTCTCTCTCTCTCTCTCTCTCTCTCTCTCTCTCTCTCTCTCTCTCTCTCTCTCTCTCTCTCTCTCTCTCTNTGTGTGTGCAAGCCTCTCTCTCTCTCTCTCTCTCTCTCTCTCTCTCTCTCTCTCTCTCTCTCTCTCTCTCAATGTATCTCCCTACCTATGCATGTCTATTGCATGCACAAACACGTCACTTTTCCTCTCCACTTCACGTGCACAGTCTCCCATACCTTCTCCCATAATCCCATTTGCATGGAACCAATACACACCACAGAACCTCACCCGCCTTCCCTGCTCCACCGCCTAGTCTCCTAATCTATCCTATTCTTTCTCCACGCCTCTATAGCCTTACTCCCTCCTGCTTCCCCCCGCCCTTTTCCCCCTGGACATATCCCGTTCCCTCTCTCCTTCATTTCTGCCGATTTCCTCATAGTTTGTATGCCCATCCATGATCGGCAAGATACAACTGCACAGACTCCTTCAGTGCAAGGTTCGGTACAAGCTGCTCCGCATGCAAAGTGGCCCTTGTCACTGGGTCGAACTTGCCGACTTTCCGCAGGTGTTCTAGCAATGACGCCCTCTCGTACGTTATTCCTGACGGCGTGATGACCGGATCTCTAAAGATCTCCATTGTCAGCTTGCAGCACAAATGATCAGGTACCTCTCCGGGGCAATCCCTCTGCTCGGCAACCGAGAACACGTCTTTCAAAAGCGCAAGGCGCGCGTTCGTCTCCTCCTTAATTCGCCGCAACTTCTCCACGTTGTGCTCGTCCTTGCTCCCAGACTCCTGCCCAGTTGGGATACCTGCTTGGCAATCCGGATCGCCACATGAGTCGACTTCCGCCATCCCCTTCCCGATGCCAAGCCACTGGCTGAACCCATTCCGGAACACCCCTCCGTGAACCGGACTGGACCCAGACGACAGGTTCGGCACCCTGCCACCACTCGACGAAACCATGTGACACGCACGATCGGAATCCTCCTTCAAAAGCCGTTCGCACTGAAGATGAAGATCTCTGACGCGTTGCCCTCGTTCTTCGCCCTCCGCTTTCCACAGCGTGAACCTTACCTTCGACAGCTCCTGCCATATCTCCTCAGCCATTCCGATACCGTTACTCCCACCTCGAGCAAGGTCCAGCGCCTTTTCCAACTCGCATACCCCCCTCGCCGATTCCTTGCGCCGCAACAGTGCCAAGCCAAGCATGAAATGAGCCTTCACTGATTCCTTGTCCAGCTGCAAAGCCGTTCGGCAGTCCTCTTCCACTTCCACCCATTCATTACGCTTCCGATGACACGCAGCCCTGTTCGTCCAGTATACGGGGACTTTCGGGCACAGCGCGATCGCCTCTGTGTACATATCGATCGCGGCCCCAAACTTCTGTTTCATATAGTACTCATTTCCTTGATTTTTTAAGGCCTCCGCCTGCTTCGCTGCATTCAACATTATGAACACCACTTCACAGAGCCAACCACTTTACACAAGGTGTTCACGTTCTCGTGTTTCTCCCTCCCTCCCTCCCTCCCTCCCTCCCTTCCAACCAACTAGCACAACAGAAGACACCGCTGTGACCAACCAAGACTCGGAAGCTTTCACTAGTATGTAGCCCACCACGTCTTAGAATACCTTGTGTAAAGTTGTTGGAGAGAGAGAGATAACTCAAGTATGGACCCAATGCCAAAGAAGACGAGGGGATCGCCTCTCAACAAAGTACTCTCCTTCCTCAAGGTGACGGGGGGAAGAGCTGGACCGCGAAGCCAACGATCCTGCAATAATGCATGGCACGATGCAGAGTACGATTCAATAAGCAGTGACATTCCATGCACACTCTGGTGGAGGCACAAACTAGCCATCAAATTCCCTCCACACTTTACCCTCCCCTTCTCTCTCTCTCTCTCTCTCTCTCTCTCTCTCTCTCTCTCTCTCTCTCTCTCTCTCTCTCTCTCGTATCGAAAAGAGTCGATTGGTTGTTGTGCACGTGTTGTTTTTCATTGTTGACGTCTCGGGATTTTTGCAATTGATTGATATGTGGACTGACGAACGCCCTTCGATCGGGCGCCAGCCTCCCGTATCTCCCGTGCCGACGCGACCTTTTCCTTACGACGAGGAAATGACACGTGTATGCGAGTGGGACGTACGAGAAGCTGTCGCACGGATCGGCAGACGATATTACTTCCCTTCTGAAAACCGTTGCTCTGGATTCGTGGATGCTGGATTTGTTATTATCGATACTCACTTTCCGCCTTACTCAGTATTATTGCCTTTAACGAGTTGATCGTCATTCCGTGGGCTGCAGTGGAACCCCACTGGCCTCGCACCCTGTGCACTGAGTGCCAGCGTTTCGAGCGCATCGGACCGTCACGGGGGATTTCAGTTTTGTCTGTGTCCCCACACTCAATTTCCAAAAATCCTTGGCACACCCCCATCTTGCTGTTTTTTTGGGCCTCCTTTCCGCACACTCAGCACTCCGAACGGAAGACAGCACGAGGCGTGAGGTTGCGCGTCACAGGGTAAGGGGTAGCTATCAGCGGAGAGGCAGGGGTGATGACTTGGGGAGTGGGGGTGGATGGCTGTCGCCCTCTCAGTTAAAACACCAGTACACGGCCCCAGCCTTGCTGAAAAGAAAACTCGTCGCTTATGAAAATTTTCGGAGGCCCAGACTGAGTGCCGTGCATAAATTGAATAGGCAGGGGGCGGCCTCCGAAAAGGGCCCATGGCCAATAGCTGGATGTACTGGTGGTTTAAGAAACACCAGTACATGCCGCCAGCTATCGGCTGTGGGCCCCTTTCGAGGCCACCTGCCGCCGATTCATTTTTATCTACGGCGCTCGGCCTCCTAATCTTTTGGAGAGGCTCAAAACACTGCAGGTTCTCCAGTTGCCTGGGGCCATGTACTGGTGGTTCAAACCACCAGTACTTGGCCCAGCTATCGGCCTGCGGGAAAAAGTGGACTAGAAACGTTTCTAGTCGGATGAATTCGGGCGCTTCTGTAGTGGCCCGTACGTAAGTTTCCTAAAATTGTGGCTTGTTAACGGGCACGGCCTTAGGAAGTACCCAGTCTGGTGGTTTGACTACCATTCGCCCCGGGCCCCGCATCGAGAACTGGACTACCGGTAGAGCCAAAATGTTTTGAACCTTAGGCTACCGGTAGCAGCAGGGAGGAAAAAAAACAGTGATTTTTTTACGCCAATGATAATAAGGAACTTCTTGAGGGGCATGCTTCAAAATTGGTGTTATGTTTTCCCCTTTGCAAAGAAGCTTAGGAAAGAAAAGTATGGGCCCCACTTCACTACACAACATTGTAAATGTATCTGGAGCTGGCAATGGTCCCAATACATTCAAAATGCCACATAAGTCCCAATGTATCCGGGCCAAAAAACAGTCCAGATACATGTAGAATGTTTTGTATTGGATGGAGAGAGGCCCTACCTAAAAGCACTATCACCCTTCTTCTCTCAACACATTACCAGACACATGGGCATAGTAGTTACTGTACCATCTTCACCAGAAAAGAGCGCAGGGTCATTATAGCTGTATTTGGAGCAACTTTCAGTCTAGATACAATGATAATGACCCTGGGTTTCATTATAGCTGTATTTGGAGCAACTTTCAGTCTAGATACAATGATAATGACCCTGGGTTCCATTCCAGTGAAGACGGTAGGTCCCACTTTTCCCAATTCTCTGTCCCACTCCAAGTTTTCCCAATTCTCCATTCGAGACCTTTTTGCTCGGATCTTGGATCACAAAGATCGAGGAATTTAAACCACCAGTACTTGGCCCAGCTATCGCCTGCGGGAAAAAAAAGAGTAGAAACGTTTCTAGTCGGATGAATTTGGGCGTTCCTGTAGTGGCCGGTACATTTCCTAAAATCGTGGCGCGTTAACAGGCACGACTCTAGGAAGTACAGGTCGTTTAAGGAAAGAAATTCAAAGAATCTTCCATCATGTATCTGGGAGCTCACTCCGGACTTTTTTCCTTGGAAAAAAAAACAACTTGAACGGAAAACTAGTGCGCAGTCAAGGTTTTCAGTTTTAAATGGGTTTCAGCCACCGGTTCGTGAATTTTGCTCCAAAGTGAAGAAAATCGTGGATGTATCCAACCCAGCTTTAGGGTTGGGTGGGGATGTGTTGTAACTTGTAATCTAGGGATGCCTGAAGTGGATTTACCACCCAGCCACGGGTTCGTGAATTTTGCTCCAAAGTGAAGAAAATTGTGGATGTATCCAACCCGGCTTTTGTTGGAAAAAAAGGGGGATTGCGTCTCAAAAAAAAATAAAAAAATAATAATAATAATAAAATTGAAAATACTTTTTTTTTTGAAAAAGGAAGAATTCCTTTCAGAAAAAATCAAGTTTGAGACAAATCAAGTAGAAATTAGAATTGAACTTTTTTTTTTTTTTTTTTTTTTTTTTTTTTTTTTTTTTTTTTTTTTTTTTTTTTTTTTTTTTTTTTTACTAGGTTACCAGAGAGGCTCGGGATCACTTGCCC